ACACACACACACACACACATCTGCTGCACACGCGTGTCAAAACACAACACGCTTCTTTACACACACACACGTCTTGCTAGACATGTGCCGGTATTCGGTAATGCGATAAATCGCGGTAATGAATATGCACGATATTGTTATCGTGGGCACTTCAAAATACCGTGAAAAATAATTGATCCGAATGTAGATTTTTAGAACACGCATCAGCTTATTTTCCATCAACCGCTTAAAAAAACACTGCGTATATGCTGCGCAAAACACGTGCGCACTCTGATGTAAACAATCCCCACATGTATAAGAAGCATGGCGGAAGGAGGAACGCTGCCGACGATTTATCCCCCTTCTAAAAGCAGGGCTGCCAACTCTCACGCATTCAGCTTGAGACTCACGCAATTGACACTTTTCAAACGCTCTCACGCCACGCATCCATTTTCTCACGCAGAGAAAAATCGCGGAGCAAAGAGGACACTGACACCGACAGACTAGACAGAGCAGGTTACTTTAGATATGAAAAAAAATATCAGCTCTCAGGTTCTGACCATTTTATTACGAAATTCAGACAATAAATACCGTTTTGGCGCTTGTAAATGTGACGTGACTGTAGCGCATCATCTGTTACTTTTTATTTAAAGATACAGTACAACTTACCGAAAGGTATATGCCTCATACATAATATCGATCAATCAGTGTTTTTCAACCACGGAAAGAGGTCAATAACACTGCAGGAGAACAGTTATGTCACAGAATGTTACCTTTACCTAAGGAAAGCCATTTAATGACCAGTACGTTAGTTGACTAGAAAAAATAGCTGAGTATTTTGCTAAATATGTGGACTATATTACCTATTTATTATATTTTTATTTGTGTCATTATATAATTGTTATTATAATGAAAAGCGCATTATATTTAATTTCTCTCTGTATGTTTACAGCATTATGTGAGAGATATTTTTTCTTGAGAAAAATTAACATGCAGGCTATCTACTGTAGCCTACCTAATATTCATCCAAACGAGTCAATATTGAATCAAATCCAAGAATTGAATTGAAATCGTGAAAATTGTGTTAAGCAATAATACAAACAGTAGCCTACCAGTCATTGTTCATGATGTAAACATTGTAACATGTTGTCACTAAACTTAATAAAATTCTGTTTAGTTACCAAATGTTTTGACAATCACAATTACACATTGTGATGCAAGTTGTTTTTTTTAGATACCCCCAATCCATCCGTTTCTCTTGTGCAATTAAAATATCGTGATAATACCGTATACCGTGATAAAAGCTCAATCAATTAATCGCAGCATGAAAATTTGATACCGGCACATGCCTACGTCTTACATATAATTAATAGTAACTGTCTGTCTGTTTCTCTCTCAGGGTTATTTGTTAAGCTGTGCCGAGGCTCTGGCCTGTCAATCAGACTCTAAGCCCCTCCCACCGGACGCAAAGCTCCTCCCGGACTGCCTGCGCTGGATCTTCACGCCATTGGGCCGGCAGTTTTTCCTCAGCTGTGATTGGTCGGTGAGGTCCGAGAGCAGCGAGCAGGTGTTCACCTCTCCGAGAGATGAAGGTAACAAACACTGACGGACTGACGGACACACACCGGGTGTGTGTAGCTGCGGGTTTAACGTGTGTTTGTGTGTCCAGCGGATCCCATCGCACAACTGCACCGCTGCTTCTGTGAGAAACTGCTGGAGAGAGCCGTACACACACTGATCGAGCCGCAGAGCAGCAAACACGCCGAGGATGCTGGGTAACACACACACACACACACACACACAGAGCCGTACACACACTGATCGAGCCGCAGAGCAGCAAACACGCCGAGGATGCTGGGTAACACACACACACACACACACACAGAACCGTACACACACTGATCGAGCCGCAGAGCAGCAAACACGCCGAGGATGCTGGGTAACACACACACACACACACACACAGAACCGTACACACACTGATCGAGCCGCAGAGCAGCAAACACGCCGAGGATGCTGGGTAACACACACACACACACACAGAGCCGTACACACACTGATCGAGCCGCAGAGCAGCAAACACGCCGAGGATGCTGGGTAACACACACACACACACACAGAGCCGTACACACACTGATCGAGCCGCAGAGCAGCAAACACGCCGAGGATGCTGGGTAACACTCTCACACACACACACACACACAGAGCCGTACACACACTGATCGAGCCGCAGAGCAGCAAACACGCCGAGGATGCTGGGTAACACTCTCACACACACACACACACACAGAGCCGTACACACACTGATCGAGCCGCAGAGCAGCAAACAAGCCGAGGATGCTGGGTAACACACACACACACACACACAGAGCCGTACACACACTGATCGAGCCGCAGAGCAGCAAACACGCCGAGGATGCTGGGTAACACTCTCACACACACACAGAGCCGTACACACACTGATCGAGCCGCAGAGCAGCAAACACGCCGAGGATAACACTGGGTAACACACACACACACACGTTAATTCTGTCCAGCTAGTGACGCTGTTTCCCATCATGCCTCTGTGCAGGGAGTTCACTGGTGTGTTGGAGTTCCTGCAGCTGTTGAACAGCTGTACTGAAGACTCCGCCCCCTCAACCGCCCCTTTCCCCGCGCTGGCCAATCAGAACTCAGCCTCAGGTGCGTGTCACTCCCTCCACACAGTGTGTTTACTCCTCTCCACACACACTGACGTCTGAACGGTGTGGTCTGTGCAGTGAGGGACCCCGTGTGCCGCTGGTGGGCGTCGGTCCTCAAGGCTGCGGTTCATTGGCTGCAGGGTGATGATGCGTCGGTGAGGTCACTGCTGGCGGAGGCGGAGCGGATGCCGCGAGCGCTTCACACGCTAGAGTGAGTGTTGGACCGTCGGAATGTGTGTAGACCCATGATGCCCCAGTCTAACGTGTGTGTGCGTGTGTGTGTGTGCGTGTCTGTCTGTGTGTGTGTCTGTCTGTGTGTGTGTGTGTGTGTGTGTGTGTCAGTCCCCCGCTGCCCAAGGCCGTGCTGGCGCTGTGTAAGGCGGTGCAGATGAGTGTGTGTCCGCAGAAGGGCGAGGGAGTCGTGAGCTGCCTCAGTCACTGTCAGCGCGCCAGTGCTCACCTGCACATCAGTGTGTGTCAGTCGCACAACAACACCTGGCTCCACAAGGTACACACACACACTTCTGAGGCGGCATGACCGATTTAACACAGCATGTGTCACACAAACAACATTATTTAAAGCGACACGACAAAACGGAGAATAAACAGGATGTTATCGTCCGCTGGTGTGAACACTAATATAGTTATCGTTATAGTTATCGTCCGCTGGTGTGAACACTAATATAGTTATCGTTATAGTTATCATCTGCTGGTGTGAACACTAATATAGTTATCGTTATAGTTATCGTCTGCTGGTGTGAACACTAATATAGTTATCGTTATAGTTATCGTCCGCTGGTGTGAACACTAATACAGTTATCGTTATAGTTATCATCTGCTGGTGTGAACACTAATATAGTTATCGCTATAGTTATCGTCCGCTGGTGTGAACACTAATATAGTTATCGTTATACTTATCGTCCGCTGGTGTGAACACTAATACAGTTATCGTTATAGTTATCGTCTGCTACATTTATCGTTATAGTTATCGTCCCCTGTTGTGAACACTAATATAGTTATCGTTATAGTTATCGTCTGTTGGTGTAAACACTAATATAGTTATCGTTATAGTTATCGTCCGCTGGTGTGAACACTAATATAGTTATCGTTATAGTTATCGTCCGCTGGTGTGAACACTAATATAGTTATCGTTATAGTTATCGTCCGCTGGTGTGAACACTAATATAGTTATCGTTATAGTTATCGTCCGCTGGTGTGAACACTAATATAGTTATCGTTATAGTTATCATCTGCTGGTGTGACCACTAATATAGTTATCGTTATAGTTATCGTCTGCTGGTGTGAACACTAATATAGTTATCGTTATAGTTATCGTCCGCTGGTGTGAACACTAATACAGTTATCGTTATAGTTATCGTCTGCTACATTTATCGTTATAGTTATCGTCCCCTGTTGTGAACACTAATATAGTTATCGTTATAGTTATCGTCTGTTGGTGTAAACACTAATATAGTTATCGTTATAGTTATCGTCCGCTGGTGTGAACACTAATACAGTTATCGTTATAGTTATCGTCTGCTACATTTATCGTTATAGTTATCGTCCCCTGTTGTGAACACTAATATAGTTATCGTTATAGTTATCGTCTGTTGGTGTAAACACTAATATAGTTATCGTTATTGTTATCGTCCGCTGGTGTGAACACTAATACAGTTATCGTTATAGTTATCGTCTGCTACAGTTATAGTTATCGTCCGCTGGTGTGAACACTAATACAGTTATCGTTATAGTTATCGTCTGCTACAGTTATCGTTCTAGTTATCGTCCACTGGTGTGAACACTAATACAGTTATCGTTATTGTTATCGTCTGCTACAGTTATAGTTATCGTCCGCTGGTGTGAACACTAATATAGTTATCGTTATAGTTATCGTCTGCTGGTGTGAACACTAATACAGTTATCGTTATAGTTATCGTCTGCTGGTGTGAACACTAATACAGTTATCGTTATAGTTATCGTCCACTGGTGTGAACACTAATACAGTTATCGTTATTGTTATCGTCTGCTACAGTTATAGTTATCGTCCGCTGGTGTGAACACTAATATAGTTATCGTTATAGTTATCGTCTGCTGGTGTGAACACTAATATAGTTATCGTTATTGTTATCGTCCGCTGGTGTGAACACTAATACAGTTATCGTCTGCTACAGTTATCGTTATAGTTATCGTCCGCTGGTGTGAACACTAATATAGTTATCGTTATAGTTATCGTCCGCTGGTGTGAACACTAATATAGTTATCGTTATAGTTATCGTCTGCTGGTGTGAACACTAATACAGTTATCGTTATAGTTATCGTCTGCTACAGTTATCGTTATAGTTATCGTCCGCTGGTGTGAACACTAATACAGTTATCGTTATAGTTATCGTCCCCTGTTGTGAACACTAATATAGTTATCGTTATAGTTATCGTCTGCTGGTGTGAACACTAATACAGTTATCGTTATAGTTATCGTCCGCTGTTGTGAACACTAATACAGTTATCGTTATAGTTATCGTCTGCTACAGTTATCGTTATAGTTATCGTCCACTGGTGTGAACACTAATACAGTTATCGTTATAGTTATCGCCTGCTACAGTTATTGTTATAGTTATCGCCTGCTACAGTTATTGTTATAGTTATCGTCTGCTGGTGTGAACACTAATATAGTTATCGTTATAGTTATCGTCCGCTGGTGTGAACACTAAAATAGTTATCGTTATAGTTATCGTCCGCTGGTGTAAACACTAATATAGTTATCGTTGTAGTTATCGTCCGCTGGTGTGAACACTAATATAGTTATCGTTATAGTTATCGTCCGCTGGTGTGAACACTAATGTAGTTATCGTTATAGTTATTTTCATTAGTTTTTGCAATAGTTATATTTATCGCTATAGTTATTGTTATAGTTATCGTTATAGTTTTTGATATGGTTATCATCTTTTGGTGTGGATGCTAATATAGTTATTGTTTTTGTTTTAATTTTAGTTATTGTTCTTGCTATTTTAGTTATCGTTACAGTTATTGTTTTCATCTGTCCGTGTGGTTGCTAACATAGTTATCATTCTTGTTAATATAGTAATTGTTAAAGTTATCTTTATTGTTATTGTTGTTATAGTTATCCTAGTTTTATTTGATAACTAGTTCGACACTCTTTCAGGGGGTGGAGCTTCTGGTCTGTGACCTCCTCCTGACTCTGAGAACCAGCCTATGGCAGCGCGGGGGCGGGTCCAATGGAGAGCCCGGCCCCGCCCCCGGATCCCAACTGGCTGGATTCCAAAGGGACCTGAGCTCTTTGCGGAAGCTCGGACAAGCCCACACACAGGCCCAGCACAAGGTGACCTTTGACCCCACCTACAGCTGACCTCTGCGTTTGACTTCTGCACGTTTAAACGTGTGTGTGTGTGTGTGTGTGTGTGTGTGTGTGTGTGTGTGTGTGTGTGTGTGTGATTTCAGCTGTTCCTGCACGAGACGACGGTCAGGCTGATGGCAGGAGCCAGTCCCACTCGCACACACCAGCTGCTGCGACACAGAACACACAACTACACAACAGCAGGTAAACACTCACACACTCACTCACAGGTTAGCTGATGCTGTATGTGTAGTAGATTGTGTTGACGTCCCGCTGTGTGTGTGTGTTCCGCAGCCGCCGGTGGCGAGCGCGAGAGAGCTCATGCTATCCTGCTAGCGTGTCGTCACCTGCCGCTGCCGCTGCTAACGCCGCCGGGTCACCGAGCTCGACTGCTCGCCGAAGCCAAGCGCACGCTGGAGAGAGTGGGGGACCGGCGCTCACTGCAGGACTGCCAGCAGATACTGATACGCCTGGGGGGGGGCACCACCATCGCTGCGTCATAACACACACACACACTCACACACACACACTCACGCTGGAGAGAGAGTGGGGGACCGGCGCTCACTGTTGGACTACCAGCAGATACTGATACGCCTGGGGGGGGGGGGGACCACCATCATTATTGCTGCGACATAACGCACACACTCACACTCACACACACACACACACATGAAAAAAATACTATAGTATGTTGTAGTAAATACTAATTGAGTGATGATTGAGCATTATTGATGAACACCTGATGATAACAAGCAGAATCACTGAAGGTGAAAATCAATATTTAAGTCACCATTATGGTGATCAGTGTTTGCTTTATTTGGGCTCTTGGCCGTTACATTTTCAACTTTAGATTGTGTTTGGCTGTAACTGGTTTAAAAAGTTCAAAATGTAAGGGTCAGAAGCCCATCTAACACAAACACTGATCACCATAATGGTGACGTAAAATAGCGATTTTCACCTTCAGTGGTTCTGCTTGTTAACAGCAGGTGTTCATCAATAATGCTCAATCATCACTCAATTAATCACTTCATTATCGCTTCAGTGTTACTTATAACGCTCTGAGTGTTGACTCATATAAACACTGAGCAGTGTCCATTTAACACTGGGGATTTTGCTGTGTATGGTTCAAAAACACTATAGTATTTAGTAGAAAGAATATTATAATATACTATAGTAAAATTACTCATGTGGAACACTCCCATACACACACACACACACTCAGTCACACACTCTCCTTCCCAGCTCATATTCAGCCATGCATATAGAAACCAATCAGTTATATTTAGTTTAAACAGAGTTTAGAAGTAAATGTTTAATTGTCATAATTATGCTAGATTACATTATCCAAGTGACAAATCAGCAATGCAGAAACCGTGCGTTTGCAATGGATGTACATGAAGAACAAACACTCACTGTTGAGTCCTGATGTTTGAAACATGAGATTCCTCACCATTCATGTACTCTCTGAGGGAGAGAAACGGCATATGATGAGCAGAACACACACACACACACACCCACACACACACACGTTGTACAGAGCTGTGTCATAGACCAAAGTCTTATAGAGCGCTAGTGCGAGACAGACATGGAGGGTTTTATATATAATTATTTCACATGACGATTTTAATGCCTCATCATGTGTAATTACTTCATATTTAGTGTCTGGCGTGTTTTTGTTATTTTGCTTTAGTAGTTTGTCTTTATTCTTTTTTATATTTGGAAATGTGACAGCGGGACATTTATTATGACAACACGTGATGAGGATGATTGTAAATAGAGTAAAAAGGAATATAAAAACTAGCGTGTGTGTTTTGTAGTGTTTTATTAATTTAATCTAAAGGTTCAGGTTGTGTTTTAATATCTAACTGTAATACCGGTAACTCTCTCCGCAGCTCCGTCACATTCACTCTTTCTTTCACGTGTTGGTCTGAATTTCTACGTCTTTTGACTTTTTTTTTTTTGTAATAAAACAGCAGATGCCGTTGAAGAACCATCATGTCTCTGTGTGCATTTAATTAAACATGACAGTTACTTTCTTAGGTTTAATAGTGCTTAGGTCATAACTTGTAAAATCTGTAACGTTGAAAATTAAGCTTTTAAAATCCACATCTATTCTTTGTGGATTTATTACCTATAAAAACAGGATGTGAGAGACATCTTTAAGTGATAAAAATAAGATTTGGGCACATAGAAATGACTGGAATAAACAAACCAACACACTTACACAGGTAATGGTCAAGAATTTGTGACCTACTGATATGAAGCTTCGAAACCTACTGATATGAATCTTTTGAATCGAATCTGTGGTTCGGAGTGTGTGTATCAAACTACGAAGTCAATGCGGATTCACTGAAATCGCCCCCCAGCGGCGAAACATCGATGGCTCTATGGGTTTTACCTGATCTGTGATCTCATCAGTTGTATACATTTGTAGACGTTTTAATTAGACAATAGGATAATTAAAATAATATTAGTTAATAGTCTCTTATCGGCTTGTTTAGCGCAGCCATTCATGCAACAAACAAAACAAGCCCTGAAGATGTATATAAGAACACATATTATACAAACATTTGATATTTAATCTTATTAAATTATTAGTCAATTGCATTGGATAGATTTTACTTTCAATAAAACATTTTCAATGGATTTGTAAAAGCTGTTTTATGCATGTTTTGTATGAGTTGTTGTTGTTCTGACCAGCAGGGATCGCCAGATTCCGAACGCTTCGAAACAGTGAATCATTTGAATCATTCAATTGATTCGACGCTTTGAAAAGCTTCGTCTCCCCCATCACTAGTGTGAACGAGATGAAATCGACAATATATATTTTCCCCCTGATACCTACACTACAAAATAAATGATCACAAACGTGAAAAGCTTTTCTTCAGGAGGACTTTAATTTTTAGATGCGCGTTCTGTGGAGGACCTTTATTTTGGCACTTCCGGCAGTTTCCCCAGAAGCGGAAGTTTAGCAGCGCGTCACACGTGTTTAGTGAAACTGGTGGAAAATGGCGAAAAACAGCAAATTAAAGCAGAACTCAAAGTTTAAAAGTGGAGCGAAACAGAAGCAGCGTAAATGTGTGCTGATGTTCGATGATAAAGACAGACAGTAAGTGACATTAATTCAGTACTTTAGTTATTGAGAGGGTTTAAACCGAATTACATTAAAGCAACAGTAAATCAGTTTATTTACGTGGATTAAATACTGTGGCATTGATGTATACACATACCCACATATGCGTAACACACATAAATAATAATGTACACATACACACATATGTTTGTTTGTGTGTGTGATTTAATACTGTTGCATTCACGTACACATACCCACATATGCATAACACAGATAAATAATAATGTACACATACACACACATGTATGTTTGTGTGTGTGTGTGTGTGTGTAATGTCACAGAATATATAAATATAGAGAGTTGTGGTGTAAAGGTGAGTTTGTGTGTGTGTGTGTGTGTGTGTGTGTCAGGGATTTCCTGACGGGTTTCCACAAGAGGAAGCTGGAACGCCGGAAAGCAGCGCTGGAGGAGATGAGGAGCAAACTGAAGGAGGAGCAGAAGCGCGTCAGAGAGGAGGTGTGTGTGTGTGTGTGTGTGATGAGGAGCAAACTGAAGGAGGAGCAGAAGCGCGTCAGAGAGGAGGTGTGTGTGTGATGAGGAGCAAACTGAAGGAGGAGCAGAAGCGCGTCAGAGAGGAGGTGTGTGTGTGATGAGGAGCAAACTGAAGGAGGAGCAGAAGCGCGTCAGAGAGGAGGTGTGTGTGTGTGATGAGGAGCAAACTGAAGGAGGGGCAGAAGCGCGTCAGAGAGGAGGTGTGTGTGTGTGATGAGGAGCAAACTGATGGAGGAGCAGAAGCGCGTCAGAGAGGAGATGTGTGTGTGTGTGTGTGTGTGTGTGTGATGAGGAGCAAACTGAAGGAGGAGCAGAAGCGCGTCAGAGAGGAGGTGTGTGTGTGTGTGTGTGTGATGAGGAGCA